CTTGCGTGCGCGGGGCAGCCTGGCCTGCGCTGTTCGTGGGGAAACAGGTCTGGACGCCCGCTCCTCCTGAGCCCTGGTGCCTGGTGGGGACCAACGCTGATTGGACGGGAGGCAGGGAGTGGGCGTGGCCGGTGGGCGTGGCCAGGAAAGTCCGCCTCTCGGCTCCCACCTGCAGGAGGCCGGCGCCGCAGGTCCCGGGAGGAGGGACAGGTCCCGGGCTGCCGGGCTGGCCTCTCCCCCCGTGTCGGTGACCCCAGGTGGCCGGGCCGGTTGAGCGCTCCGCACTGGGCGGGTCGTCCTCCCCCTGTCACCCCTTCGCGGCGGCCTCGCTGCTGGGCAAGGGCAGCGGGGACAGCGGGGACGGTGGGACGTGGCGGCTGGGAGCGGTCGGTAGGCCCAGGTCAGACTAGGGGGGCAGGGAGACCTCAATTCAATAAGGGCGGAGCTCAGGTATGTGAACTTGACTGTCACAGAGGCTTGTCTTTTTATCCCCACACCCCGTCCCACCCGGGGCTGCGGCCTATGGCCCCCACAAACACGCAGGACGTGCCTCTCATTTAAGTCCCCCCTTCTCCTCGTGCACGTCCCCAGCCGGGGATGGAGCCGTTCGGAGGAGGGTCCTCGGCTCCCACCAATGCCCCCCCTCGCTCTCAGCTCCTCCTCGTCCTCAATCCTTGGTCCCTGACTTTACTTATCTACACTCACCCCTTGGAGGCCTCGGCTATAGGCAGCCACGCCCACATTTACAGCTCGCGTCCACTTCCAGCTGTGGCTGATGGTGTTCCAAACTTCACACCCCAGACTCAGCCCTGTCTTCTGCACCCCCCCCCCCCCCCATTTCTCCTGCAGCCTGCCTCTTTGACAATGAAGGACAATGGATGGCGACTGCACCCCTCCAGTGCTCAGGCCCCAACCCCCACCCATCCTTGCCTCCTCTCCCTCCTCAAATCCCTTGTGAAAGCCACCAGGAAATCCCCGGATCCTCTTTCAAACTGGACCCAAATCTGACCACGTCTCACCGTGTCCTCGGCCGCCGCGAGGTCCTGCCTCTGTGGTCTCTGCTCTGGATCCCTCCCGCATTGGCCTCTCTGTGCTCATTTCTGGTCTGTTGGGGTGGTTCTGTTAAATCGCAAGTCAGATCACATACTTTTGTACTCAAAACCCTTCAGTGGCTCCCCTCTTCACTCCAAGTAAAAGCC